GACATTTATGTTTATGGTTCTGTGCCAGTATATGATCATGTATCATTTCACTTAAGTTAGTGAAGGATATAAGAAATTTTTCTGAATTTATAAAAATACTAGATTTCAACCTATACTCACAGTATACCTAGATGTCTTTTTTTTAACCTCTGACCTAAATTCTGACCAGTGAAGTTTGAAAAACTGAGTTGAGGAAAGAATATTAATATCTCTGTGTCTCAATTACCCCCTCAATAAAATGGGAGGAACACAGACAGTCAAACTTAGGATTTTTCAGTTCTGTGATGTACAAAAGTGATAATGCATTCAGTAGAAACCATACTTCACATTTTAAATTTTGATATTTCCCAGGCTAGTGACATCCAGTGTGACACTGTCTTCTGATGCTGGGCAGTAGCAGTGAGCCATGGCACCGAGTCAGCCGCATGCTCATGAGGGTAACCAACCGATACACTTAAGACCATCCTGTATCCAAACAACTATTCTGTTTTTCACTTGCAGTACAATAAATTACATGAGCTACTCTAACACTTTACTGTAAAATAGGCTTTGTGTTAGATGGTTTCGCCCAGTTGTAGGATAGTGTAAGGGTTCCCAGCATGTTGAAGTCAGGCTAGGCTATGCTATGATGTTCAGTAGGGTTGTATTAAATGCATTTTCAACTTACAGTATTTTCAAATTACCGTGGTTTTATTGGGGTGGAACCCCATCATAAGTCAAGGAAGATCTGTGGTAGTTCCTACCTCATAGGCACTTTTGAGGATTAAATGAATAAAGCTTGTTTTGTAGTAGATGCTATATGAGTGTTACCTGACACTGCTGTTGTTGTTATTAAACAATTATAAATGGTGAGCTATTGATCGCTGAATGACAATTGAAATTTTTTTTACCTTATAGTATTGAGTGAATCTTCTTATGTGTCTTTTATGACTGTCATTTTTATGGGTTTTAGTTTTTGTTTTCTCCCCCTAAAATCAGGTATCTGCCAGAGCAGATCTTTGTTTTTGTACCTGACATTGTGCATTATTCCAACAGAATAGCTTAGAATCACACTAACTTCTCAGATCAAATCTTCGTGCTCTGACACTAACATATATAACACATACACAAACACACACATTTGTACACCTCTTTGGAGACTAAGGTTAGATGGAAGATCTTCACTTTTTCCTGCATACTTCATTCAAAGATGGACAGAAAAAAATAAGATACTTTTTTAAAGATGAAGACTTTCACAACTTAAGACTCAACTTTTAGTATTTTTACTCGGTTGGGTTCCTTTTTCATCTGGGTAAATTTATATTCAAAACCTGGGTTTAAGTTCCAGCTCTTGCTCACATATTTCAGTACACACCAGTCTTCTTATTACTAAACTCTGTATTTTGATTGACTATTATATAGTAAAATTTTCTAATACATGTTTGATTTCTCCCCATCCAGATTCCTACCTCCTTGAGGGTAGAGACCAAGCCTTTTTTCCTTTTGATTTTCTCCATAAGACATGATAGAGTGTTTTTTTAATTCTTGATATTTCACCCTCTTCCCAGACTAATGTTCTTTAAGGAAACCCCCACCCCCGCCCCCTAACTCCCCAGTCAACTAAATGAAGGAAATCCTATGGAAGGAAACTTGATATTGAACTTATTATAATGACATAGTAACAGTTCTTTGCAGTATTTTTGCTTTTACTCAAGTATCATCTCTCCCTGGAAGCTTTTCTTGAATACCTAATTTGGTCTAAGTGCCTTTATTCTCTGTTCTGGTGGTGGTACCCGTGAATACCATTACCCTAGCTTTTCCACATTATATTGACATTATCTGTTTGTGTGTTTGTTTTACCCATTCTAGAGAAAGGGTCTTTGTTTTACTCATGTTTGTATCTCTAGCACCTAGCCTCATCCCTAGTGCTCAGTTACTGTTTGTTAGACTGAATGACTATATCTTGTTAGCTCTGTCTCCCCTTCAGAAGGAGAAAAGTATCCAACTGTATTTAGGTACCAGAAATTCCAGAAAAAATGAAAAAAATTCTAAATTTTCTTCTCCTTGCTCAAATTTCCTCTTTCATTGACGTAGGTATTTAAAATAAAAGCAATGAAAAATAAAACAAAACCACAAATGCTATCAGCATTCAGTCAAAATTGTAAGAATTTACTAAAATGTTTAGAGATGAAGTGACTTGATATCAAGGGAAAGTGCAAGTTTGGCTTTAGATAAGGCAAAATTGGAAATGAGTTGAAAATTGATGAAGCTGAAGGATGGAACATGAGCGGTGTAGGGATAATTTGTACTATTCTGTCTACTTTTGTATATATTTGAATTTTTACATAGTAAGGAGTTTTAAAATGAGGATTTTTCATAGCATATTGACTTTCTAATTTTGGTCCTATAGCTGACTATTTCTTACTGGAAGTGAAAAGTAAGAAGACAACTTGAGTTTGAAATTGTTTGAGACTTAGAATGGTTGGGTTCGTGTCTTATTTTGCCATAGGTGCCCACTGACTCCATTTTTTGAAACTTTAAAAAAATTTTAACCATCTACTTACATGTCAGTTTCATTGTTTAGGTGCTTATTGTGTGTCTTGAGAGTAGAAGGAACCTAACAAATGTGATTTTGTTTTGTGACATTAAGGCCACTGAACCAGAGTCTGTAGATGTGCTGGATTGTACTCTTACTCATATTCTTACCCAGTGCCCAAGAGCAATCAGAGTGGTTGGAATATGTCAAGGCCAGAGTAATGTGCGAAAGGCATTATTTGGTACACCTCTAGCCACACTGCATTTTGAGTTTGTTTTTTTTTCCTCCACATGAAGAATGGGTTGGCACCAAGGTAACCATACTGATTACCCATTATACCTTTT